AAAAATTTGACCATTATTGAGTCTCAAATCTATTGGTATCAAATTATGTAGATTTCCTCAAATTAATTTCAGTTTAGTAGTAGTAGGAGAAGATAGTACTCCCTCGGATCCATAATAAGTGTCATGGTTTTAGCACAAAATTGTATTTTATTTAAAAGAGAGCAAGCCCCGGCCTCTGCATCGATGGATGCACACAACCATATTATTAGTTTTCATCAAAGCTCTGATAAGAACACATACATCAAACAACCCGAAACCACCGCCCTCATATACAAATTCCACAATAGGAAATGCCCTCATGCCCCACAATCTAAAGCCGCAGTCAACACCGATCCGCTTGCATGACATGCCAGGAGCATACACCCGATGCAGCCAACCGATAGCACAAAACACGTGCACATGCTTCAGAAAGCCGCAACCACTACAATAACGTTGCCCCATGTCCAGAAAAAAGATCCGCATCAACCTTGCTAGGCTGTCTAGTGACCACAACACCAGAAAGCGTCACCACCTGCGCGCTAGTGCAAAAAAGCCTAGCTATGTCGTTGCAAAATTGTCCTTCTAGGCGTTGGGTTCCAATGCCACCAATATGGCACCAGTGAAAAAAAAATTAATGGTGGTGTTGGACACACGTCAACATTATTTTAGATACTGATGGCATGCCGCATGGCCAACGCCAGCAGTAAGTGTATGTTACCACTGACACATGCCTTGTTGGCCCAACGCCACCAATTTGATTTGCCGGTTATAAAAAAATATGTAGGTATGTAAACCATCAACTAATTTAAGATCTACTACTACGTCAAGTAGTTAAACTTAATAAACTAGATAGATACTCATCAACTTAACAAACTACATAAAGTTAGCAGTTGAACAACTAAACTAGTTTAACTTAACAAGTTGTTCAACTTAACAAACTACATAAGATATAGCTAGCCTAGGTGGTCGATGACATTTCTTGATCAAGGATTTCCTTCATCTGTCGAATCATGTACCTATTGTCCTCTCCCTCCCTTTAAAAATGAGCTTCCTCCATCTTGAACTCATTCCTCCCGGCTCTGACGAGTTTTCTCTACTACTTCAGTTGATCCCTCTCCTCGATCAGCTGATCTCTCTGCTCCCTCAGCCTAAAGGTCTTATTGAAGAGATTAGCCTTCTCATCGATCAGTTGATCCTTCTCCACCTTCAGCGCGATATTCACCTCCTTTGAGGCCTTGATGGTACTTTCATAAGACTCTATAAGCTGGAGGTTGAGCATGTCCACATCATAGACCTTCTCCTCAACAGGTTTCAGATTCGGCACGTATCCCTACCAATTTAAATGTTTGAAATCGTTAGATATGTATGTGTTTATGACACCATGAATGGTTAGTTATATGCATGTGTTTGCAATAATGATCATGGATGTGTTTGGAATCTTACTTTGTTGGTGCTCGCTTCGCGTCCGTCGGCATACCCCGCGATGTTGCCAGAAGACCTATAGTGGCTATTACAAAAATAATAACGAGTTTTATGAATGAAACCCAAAACCGAAGACAATTTCAGAGTTGACACTAGTTAACAATTTTGTAGTTTGGTCTTTTTGGTCATGATCTTTGAACTAGTTTGGTATTTTTGGCCATGACCTAGAGAAAACAATTATTAAAATGTATGGGCATGACCTAGAGCAAACACAGTTCTAAAAATGCCATTTGTACCAACATGTTTGGCCATGACCTAAGCAAAATTACTGTGAGTCGAGGGTGATCAAAGCCCGAGCAAAATTGTAGTGGCCATGACCTAATAAAAATGCCATGTTTTCGGTAGTGACCCATAGCAAATAACAAAGGGATGAGATGCTCACCTGGGTTGGAGCCGAGGGTCGCCATCGCCTACCGTCTACTCCGTCGTTGTCTCCGGATCCGTCGCCATCACCAAAATCCTACAGTTGGGAGTGCGAATCACACCTCATATAAAAAACAAATCCAGTTGGACCATTCCACTTGGCATCAAGAGGGGGAGGCATAGATATGTACCTAACGACAGGAGGACGCTGGAAATCGCCGGAATCGGCCAGCAACAACCGTTGGTAGAAAGGGGATCAAGAGCAGGGCGACAATGAGAAGGCCATCGAGTGGAGTTGGCGAGTATGGCGAGGGGGCCTTGGCCGTTTTGTTTTTCTTGGACCACTTCCGACGTAACGCTAGGGTAGGCTCAATAGGCCCCTGTCGTAAAAAAATTTAAAGATACAAAAATCAATAAAAAGAAACAAAATTAATTAAAAGAATCCAAAATAACAAAAATATACAAAATAACTAAATGTCTCAAAAGGTAATTATTCACACTTTAATAACTAAAAAGTCTCAAAATGCTAATAAATTCAAACTCAAAATAATAATAGATTCAAAAGACATATTTTTTTACTTTAATAACTAAATGTACCAAAAATAATAAAAGTCTCAGAATAGTAATAAATTCAAAATATATATCCTCAATTTCATAACTAAAAATCTCAAAATTTATTAAAAAGGCTCAAAATAATAATATACTATAAATAAATATTTTTACTTTAATAACTAAATGTTTCAAAAAAGTAATAAAAAGTCTCATAATAATTATAAATTCAAAATTAGTATTCTTACTTTAATAACCAAAAGTCTCAAAGATAAAATAAAAACTCAAAATAATAAAAGAGTCCTATATAGGCAAAACAAGGGAGAATATTTGTGTGGAGAAAGGAAGTTAGTTGTTTGAGAAACAAGTGCTGTCAACACTCCGACATATATAGGCAAAACTTAGTGTTCGCGTTCAAATTCAATGCGCGCCAACTCTAGACTAATTACCTACGGTGTTCATACAAATTCAACGCCACCACTATCTACCAACTGGCCAGTAGTGCTGGACCCACCAATTTGTGACGTGTTAGAAAAAAAACCAACGCCAATACTATCCTTATGAAGCTGCCATACCAAATATGCTAGCGCCCCCATTATTTTGAAAATATAGTGATGGCGTTGATTGAAAATGGGGTGCCACCAACTAAAGTTGTGGCTATCCATTCCTCTACTGGTGCTTCCATCATCATGCATCCTCCATCGACGCCCGCCACACCAAGCCGCAGAGACTCGTCATCGTCGATGCAATAGATACCACGCCGCTCCACCTTGGCCACAATGTCATGCTCGGGAAAAACCAGGGGAAGACAAACTTCAAGACGACCCCCTCAGGAAAGGAAGCGACACGAGATCGATGTCGTCATCCAACCTTATTCACCAGCCGGACGCCTGCACGAGAACCCCCGGAACTACGACGGAGGGATGCGCCACAGCGGCCATCAGCCCGTGCTTTACCTCGTGGTGATTCGGCGGCGGCAAGGAGAGTGTGGCGGCGGCCTACCCGTAGATGGGTTTTCAGTGAGAGAGGTTTCCGAGTGCATGCCTTCAAATTTGAACTAAAACTAAGACACTTATTTTGTATTGGAGGGAGTAGTATTGAGTTATCACAATCCATCCTTGCTAATAAGCGCTCTGGAATCAAATCTCTCGCTGTTATTTGTTGTTGGCTAGCTCTCTCCACGTACGATTAATTGGTAGAAAAATTAAGATGGTTGCTAGCATGCTAATTTTGTATAAATGAATATAAATGGGCATTACGATCATTGATCGACTGTCAATTGAATATAGTAAATTGAGCATGCAAGTGTATTGGCCGACACGCGTGCATTTCGTTCAGTTCAATCATTAAGCTACACGAGTAACCTCTCCCAACTAGCTAACTGTAGCTAAAATCAGTATGATCGAGATAGTTGTTGTAAAGTTTAAAAATAATGATGCGTGCGTGCACAAACGAACTGATTAAGCTCGGTAGCCGCTACCAGACGGCCGGTGTGTAACCGGATAAGAATTGATTAACTGGAGGACGACCGACGACGACAACCCATTCGTGTGCAACATGCATTATCAGACTATAATCAATACAATCATTCACTGCTCCAACGTATAACAACGCACTCCAATCGATGGATAGACATATAGTAAAGGCCTGTTTGGTTTCAATAAGTCAGGTAAGTCAGGTGATTTAAAATCAGTGACTTATAAATCACGTCTGTTTGGTTGTCACCTGACTTATAAGTCACCTGACCACACATTTTCATCTTGTTTTTTTATGTAAAGATGATGGAACCCACACAAAAGGGGGTGACTTATAAGTTTTAAGTCGAAGTGAAGCAACTTATGACTTATAAGTTGGATCTATTTAAAAAAATAAGTCACTCTTTTCACTTTTCTGACTTATAACTTGATGACTTATTTAAAACCAAACAGGGCTTAAATGATGTGCACGTACGTAGAGGTTGGATTTCAAATGCATGTCTACTTTTGGCCTTTGGCTCTAGCTGCCATCCGCTCGATCTCTCAGATACTGAAGGAAACCAAATGTGGAATCTTTGATGTCTCCCAACTTGCAACGCAAAAGGGACAAAATCGCACGCACGGATCCGGTTGTTGCGGAGGTCTACTCTATACCTGAGTCGCCACTCACCATCCGAATATGCCATGAGCTATGCAGCACAATTTGCACGAAGCATTGATGAATGAAGATGGTTATAGACTTATAGTCGAGCACAAGGGCGTGTAGAGTGCCAGAGTTCGAGCTGCATGTACGTGTGCGTCACAGCACAGGTCATCTATTTTGACCGTGCGTGCATGCACGTCCGCCCAACACATGGGCTACCTTCTCGATTGGTCGCCAGCATGACACCTAAGAGCCGCCACTGCACATGCACGGCGAACACCACCGCCGGCGTTGCCTGGCGTTGAGATTTGACTTTGAAGGCCTCCCCCACGCACTCCGCTGCCCGGCCACCCACACGCGCAACCACCACTTGCCAAGCTACTCTGCCTCCTCCTCCTTGCATTGCATATATACCACATTGATCGTCTCCACCATGGATCACATGTCATCTCATCTCAGCAACAACACACAAAAAGCACAAGAAGCAACTAGCTAGCCGATCCATCCACATGGTTCCCAACTTCGGCCGTTCCATCTCCTTCCCTCGGACCCGGGCGATGTCCTTCTCAAAGTCGTCCCGCCACGTCCGCTCCGTCAGCCTCCCCGGCACCACCTCCTCACACCCGCTCCTCGCAAACCTCAACGCCGACATCGCCGCCATCCGTGCCTGGATCCAGGACACAGCAGCAGCAGGCTCGTCCCTCCCGGCCGGCCTCGCCGCCATACACGCGCTTCATGCCGCGCTCGCCGACCTCCTCCTCCTCCCAGCGTCCCAGGCATCGCTTCGGAGCACCACCAGCAACGCCGCAGGCAGCCTCCTAGACGTCTTCCTCATCCTCGCCGACGCGCACCAAGGCTTCAAGGAGTGCCTTATGTCGCTCAGGCACGCCGCCGCCGAGTCCCGCGCTGCGCTCCGCAGGGGCGATGCCACAAGGCTCGCGTCTGCCGCCAGGTCCCAGCGCCGGGCCGAGAAGGACCTCGCTCGCCTGGCCGCATCCGTCTTCGCCGTCTCCTCCAAGTGCACCCGCCTGAACCTCGTCGGCGAGGATGCAGAGATGGCCGGTGCGATCATGCAGGCAGTGGCTGCAAGCGCCGCGGCCTCTGCGGCCGTGTTCTCGGCTGCCGCGTCAATGTCGTCCCCGGCGTCCTCTTGCAAGAAAATGGCCATGTTTGTTCCCGTGTTCGCCACCAGGAAGGCCGCCGCGCCGGAGACTGCAGAGGCGGCCATGGAGAGACTGCATGTGCTAGAGCGGTGCTTCGACGAGTGCGATGGCGCCTGCAACAGGGTGTTCAGTAGCGTCGTGCAGACCAGGGTTTCACTTCTCAACGTCATGACGCCCACGATCTAGTCAGCTAGCTACTCATGTCATGTGTACATATAGGAAAAGAAAAAAGGAAACTTAATTAGCTAGGCCATGTGTATTATATATTTTGCCGACGAGAGTGGTTCTTCTACACCCACTCTCGGTGCACCCACGGTGCACCCACGTAAGAAAACATATCAAAACATTTCAAAAAAAATCTGAAACTTCGTGGAAATGATCATCAACAAATGTTATGGGGCTTGCAAAATTTGGTGGTCAAATAACATTCGAGGAGCTCTCTACAAAAAAGAAAAAATCACTGAAAATTAGTCAAAATGTACGTGCACTGTTTGAGCAGATTTTGCAATTTTGTCTTTTTTGTAGAGCGCTTCTCGAATGTTATTTGACCACCAAACTTTGCAAGCCCTCATAACATTTGTTGATGATCATTTTCACGAAGTTTTAGATTTTTTCTAAATGTTTTGATATGTTTTCTTGCGTGGGTGCACCGAAAGTGGGTGCAGCCACTACTTTCTTTTTGCTGATTTGTCACTGCACACTGTACATATATACAGGGGAAAATATAGTACAAAGAAAAAGATTTTGCTACACTTGTTCAGACTTGTGCTTCTTTACATGAATAGTACTAGTAGAACATCCAAAAGGTGTCTTTCTCACGGACGACTCGGGCGGCTCCTCCACCCTCTAGTCTCCTACACCATTGTTCTACCCTGCCGTCGTTGCCGCCGCTGCCACGGAAAAGCCCATGTGGTGGTCGGCGGCGGCGGGTGACTTTGCGCTTGTTTTTTTTGAGCCGAAACCGTAGAACAAAATGTTCTATGATAAATTTTCATTCATTAATTAAAAAGTACAAATACAAGGAAAGTACAAATCAACCAATACCAGTTTTAGGAAAACCCATAATTAAATTACAAGTACTGTTGTATCTAGATTCTGATCTTTTCTGACTTTGATGATTTAGCTCTGAGCTCTGTAGCTTGTAGTCCTTCTTTCAAGTAATGCTTCCAAGTCTCCATTTGTGATGGCCTGGCTTATTAGGGATGATAGACTACTCATATCAATAAGGAATTCCTTCTTTTTCGGGAGCCCATTCGGACAGAACTCCAAAGTTAAGCGTGCTCAGCTTGGAGTAGTGTCAGGATGGGTGACCGACCGGGAAGTTGCTCCCGGGTGCGCATGAGTGAGGATGGTTGCGGACAGGTGCGTGGTCATGTTGTTCATGACGTTTGTGACCCGTCGTGGCACCCGGCATGGCACATGTACCAGACTGGAAGCACAGACGTTTGTGCCAAGAGGGAATGTTCCTGTGGCCCGACGAGGACGTCGGTTCCTCTGAGTGGGGGTGTATGTGATGGCCTGGCTTATTAGGGATAATAGACTACTCATATCAATAAGAAATTCCTTCTTTTCCGGAAGCCCATTCGGACAGAACTCCAAAGTTAAGCGTGCTCAGCTTGGAGTAGTGTCAGGATGGGTGACCGATCGGGAAGTTGCTCCCGGGTGCGCATGAGTGAGGAAAAAGTACGCAGAAAAGACTAGTATTGATCTGTGGGGCTAGTCTAGATCCCGCCAGGAGTAATGACCACCGGCGGGTGTGTCCGGGGCGTTACACCACTGATGGGGCAGCTCACCTAAATATTTTGTCATTTCTACTCATCCAGATGGCCCAGCAACCCAGAATAATGATGTCCATTGCAATATCTGATGGAAGATGCCTCATGGAAAGATGAATCTCATCATATACCGATATGCCTCTGGACTTAGTTGGAATAATGGAGTGCCAACATGTTAAAGCAAATTGACAATCCCAGAACAGGTGGACAGTTGTTTCCTCTGTGGCATCGGTACATAGGGCACAATTATAGTCATCTAGGTGCATGGATCTCCTATGGAGGAAGTTTCTGGTACTCAGGTGATCCCACATCAACAGCCAGAAAAAGATTTTATGTCGTAGCCTGCATGATGATTTCCACAAAGTTCTGAAAATGTCATGTACTATGTTCTCCCCTCTGATAGCTTTGTACATTTTCATAGCTGAGTAATTGGGTGACGCCCATGCGTATGTCCATTTATCATTTTGGGTAGCAGAACCTTGCTTAGTCAGGAGCGTATGCAATGATGTGAATTGCTCAAAAGCTAGCCGTGAAAGTGGCATGTGAAAGAGTTGGCTGGTGTCTGTATGATGCAGGGCACCACTCAAGGAGATAGTCTGATTGATAGCATATGAATGGAGCTCTGGGAAGTTAAGGAGGAGTGGAACACCTTGCCACCAATCAGTCCAAATGCTCACTGAATCTCCAATACCTGCTTTACAGAAAACATGCTGCTTAAACAATGGGAGTAGTTTCAGTACATCTCTCCACCAGAAAGATCCAACTTTCTGCTCCCCTGGTAGCCTGTTCTGGTAGTGTTTCTCCCAGATGATATGTACCCAAGGTGTGTCCACTTTGTTAAAGAACTTATGCAAAAATTTCTGGAGCAGTGCCTTGTTATGTATGTGGAGATCTAAAACCCCAAGACCACCATGGTTTTTAGGTCTGTTAACTTTGTCCCAGGCAATGAGCACAGAGCCTCTATCCAAGGTACCATATTTTCTCCAAAAGCGGTTCATAAGATAAGTGTTGATTTGTTTGACAACTGTTTTGGGTATCATCAGAGTGCTCGTGAAAAAAGTGGGTGTACTTGTGAAGATGGATTTAATGAGGGTGAGTTTGTCCCCAGTGGACAGCATGGTAGAGCAGCTTAGTAGTCTTGTCTCAATCCTTTGAAGCAGAGGTACAAAATCCTCAACTTTAGGCCTAGATAGACATAGTGGGAGCCCCAGATAATTGAGTGGCAGAGTACCAATCTTGCATCCTAAAATGCTTGAAAGTTCAATCATCTTCTCAGGAGGAGTGTTAAGAGAGGTCATTGTAGACTTTGCATAGTTCACTTTGAGTCCTGTGTAATGAGCATAATGTAACAGGAGATTTTTGATTTGCTGCACCTGGCTATGATCAGCTTTTGCCACTAAGATAGTATCATCTGCATACTGAATGATAGGATAATTAGGGCAAGTAGTATGTGTGAGTGGTGGCTCAATCATGGATGCATGGCAGGCTTCATTGAGGATAGTCTGTAGTAAATCAGCAGCAATCACAAATATTAGTGGTGACAGAGGATCTCCTTGCCTAACTCCATTGCTACAGAGGAATTTCTTGCCAGGAACTCCATTAAGCAGAACAGATGAATACCCAGAGCCATAAATCATTTTGATCCAGTGGATCCACTTGTCCCCAAAACCTTTAGCTTGCAGGACCTCAATAATAGTGTCATGGTTCAACATGTCAAATGCTTTTTCAAAATCCAGTTTGAGGAGAATGATTTCTTTTCTGCTCTGCTGGCGTTGGTGTATATATTCAAATGACCATGCTAAGCAATCTTGGATACATCTGTGGTGTAGAAAGCCGTATTGATTTTTGTGGACCATGCCAAGGATGAGTTTCTGGAGTCTATTAGCTAGCAGTTTAGTGATGATTTTGAGAGTGCAGTTCAATAATGAAATAGGCCTGAAATCTGCTGGTGTAATTGCATGATCCTTTTTAGGGATGAGGGTAACTTCGCGCTCGTTCAGGCCTAGCGCCCCCACTCCACTTCATCCCCTGTGCAAGGTACGCCGCCGGTGTGCGGCTGCACCCCAAGTGGCCAGTAGCCGAGATCCGGTGCTCCAGCGCATGAATCACATGGTTTTTCGCGCATCTGACGGCCTCCTGCTTGGAGTAGTGCACACTCCACCATGGTTGCGCCTTGCTGTATTTATAACCTTCAGATGTGGACGACCATGTGTACACCCTAGGTATCCCGGGTATCTATATAAACCGAGGTGCCAGGGTCGTAGAAGCCAGATTCATTCACATACAATCTTGAGGTAGATCACCTATACTTTGTATCCCATCCCAAATCAATACAAACAAAGCAGGAGGGTTTACCTCTTTGAGAGGGTCTGAACCTAGATAAACTTCGTCTACCTTGTGTCTTTGTTATCATCTAGCCAAGACTACCAGATCGCGGCAAAAAGTGAAGAATGTGTCCAATTCCGGCCTCTCCAATGAAAACTACTGTATTTGATTCTCCGATCTGTCTACTCCGCTGGGTAGGTGAGTAAGCCTAAAATTTTCAAGTCGGGAAGGTCAAATTTAATGAATGTTGAAGTTGTAAACAGAAACTAATCAAGAATGGGCTCATGTTTATACCAAGTAGACCTAACAAATCCTAACAAGGATACGGTATCAACATGACCAGGACAAATTGTCTCGTGCAAAATAATATCAGGTCAAATTTGTTGATAATTCATACAGTAATGCCAAAGCAGAGAATTAGAGATGGATTGTGATTTGCGAACAATTTATAATTTTGTCCAAAACATTCAAGAACAAAATGCATGACGTAGCATGAGTGCTTCTCCTCCCTTTATTCATATTTATTGTTACTTTGATGTTCCATTTTTCGAGTGAAGCCAGAAGCAATCAGGACCAAATATTGATTAATCCATGGGAAAACATGAATACTAGCCATCAACCTGTGCACCTGCACGGGCTAGCGTAGTTATTACAAAACATGAATTATTAAGAACCAATTAATAATTAAGAGCCAGTTACATATACAAAAGTCACTGCAAAACCTACTAATTAAGAAAATATTATATTATATAAGTCCAAACATATACTCCCTCCGCACAAAAATACTTGTCATCAAAATGGATAAAAAAAGATGTATCTAAAACTAAAATACATCTAGATACATCCCCTTTTATTCATTTTGATGACAAGTATTTCTGGACGGAGGGACTAGGAAATTATTGGAGCGCCTAGACAATCTAGGAGATTATTTTAAATTCTGCCAAGTTTGTTGATTTGTTTTCTTTGATAGAGTTTACTGTGACACTGTATATGTACTAAGCAAACCCTGGCATACGATATAATCTGTTTCACTTGTGATTCTGAAACCGGATTTCTAGAGAAGTTATATTAATGATTAATTTTATA